CACCTCACCTGCAGGAAGGCGCTGGGCTCCGCAGCATCCACCGTGTCCGTGGGTTCCGCCATCGTCCACCGCATCTGTGGGTTCCGCCATCGTCCATGAGCTGCCCCGGGGCCTTGGTGAGCACAACGCGTCCCTCAGTCCCTCAGCCGCTGCAGCGTCTCCCCTCCAGCTCTCCCGGGGGGGTCCTGCCTGCCTGCTCCCCGGTTCACGCTGGGAAACGCAGGGCTGGAGCCCCCGGGGCAGCCCGAGGGGATCCCCCTCCCAAGGGGGTCCCACCCCAGCGCGATTCGGGGCGCAGGCAGGAGCTCTGCTGGGGAGGAGGAGGCCGAGGGCTGCCCAAGGCACGGAGTGGATGGCAAAGGGAAACCCTTGAGGCCTTGGTACTTGTTTAAAATACTTTATTGCAACGTCATATGGTCCTCTGATTCTCCCAGCGGCGGGAGTCTCGCGTGGGGACACCACAACAGGGGAGATTTCTACCTCCTTTTCCACGTCCCCCACGGGAGGACGACAGCCACGGGTCCAGAGGTCGCCGAGCAGCATCAGCCTGCCTCCCTTCCCTGCGGAGTCTCTCTGGCTTCTCCCCGTTCTCACAACTCAACTATTGTTTCTGGTGGGAGCCAAAAAGGGAGATTTCTACCTCCTTTTCCACGTCCCCCACGGGAGGACGACAGCCATGGGTCCAGAGGTCGCCGAGCAGCATCAGCCTGCCTCCCTTCCCTGCGGAGTCTCTCTGGCTTCTCCCGGTTCTCACAACTCGACTATTTAATGGTTCTCTCTTAGAAAAGCAGCATATTTTTTTTTTAAAACACTTTTTATAAAAACTAACAGGATCAACAACGACGACACAAAAATGCAATAATCGCTTTTCAACTCAAGTGCGCAGCAAATTGCCCACCCGCTGAGGGTACGGCTCGGACCCACACGGACACACGAACACGCAGCGCAGCCCCCTCCTCAACGCCATCCGAGACCCCCGCCCCGGGGGCGCGAAGGCGCAGCTCGGACTATAGCAGCACATTCAAATGTATTTCTTAAAACCTAGTCTGATGTCTAAGCTACTTAAAAACCCAACCAGCTTCCAAGTGAGAGTCTCCCCTTGCGCAGGGAGCGAGGGAAGGGGATGAAGGGCGAAGGCACTCTTTCGGAAGGCGAGGAGACCAGCACCCAGGCCCCGCAGCACGGAACGGCCGTCTTCCTCCCTCCCCGTTTTCCCAGCAGTTAACAATAAATTAAGCAGCCTCAGCGGGGCGGCGGCAAGC